TGGTTTTTGTTTTTCCCTTTTGATTTAACTTGTTTCCAAGACTCTTTTCAGGTGCATGACTAGGAGGTCCAACAAGGACAACCTAGTTGAACATCCAGAGATAGACAAGCTTGAGAAGCAACTTAGGAAGCAGAAAGCCCAAGAGATGGCCGACGAAGCAGCTCGCGCTCACGCCGCTGAAGTGGCGCGCGCTCAAGAAGAAGGAAGAGATCCACCTCCTCCTCCTCCTAACCCTGCTGGAGATGTGAACGCACAACCCCAAGCTGGAGCACCTACAATCGGAGACTATGACTCTGCCGATGCTTTCTTCATGGATAGAAACCCTATCCATCCACCACCCCTGCAAGGAATGACTATGAGATCAAGCCTCAGATCATTGCATTGGTTAGACAGAACCAATTCAATGGACTTCCAGCTGAGCACCCTCTTGATCACATAGAAAACTTTGAAGAAATTTGCAGCACTACAAGATCCAATGGAGTCTCTGCTGACTACCTTAAGTGCAAGCTCTTTTCATTCTCTCTTGGCGACAAAGCTTCAAGATGGTTGAAGTCTCTGCCAGCTCACTCCATCACCACTTGGGATGAGTACAAGGCTGCATTCATCAACCACTTCTACACCAAGCAAAGATCAATTTCTGTAGAAACAAGATCTCCACTTTCGCCAAGGCAACAATGAATCTTTCTATGAGGCGCTAGATCGATTCAAGGAGTACATTAGGGACTGCCCTAATCATGGTTTCAATGAGGGAAACCTATGGAACATCTTCTATCGTGGCATAGACCACAAGTACAAGCTTTCATTGGATACAGCAAGCAATGGAAACTTCATGACCAAGACTGTTGATGAAGCTAAGGTTCTTATTGAGAATCTTGCAGCTAGTGATTGTAACAACTGTCCTGATTATGACCGCTCAAGCCGCACCACTACTAGCTCCCCTGATTCTTTTCAAATGACTGAACTCAAGAACATGATGGCTCAAGTTCTTAAGGGACAGCTCAAGCATATCAATGCAATAGAAGGGATGAGTGATGCTAATGAAGATTCATCAAGAGAATGCATGGGAGATTTCTCTAATGAAGCCAATGAAGAAGATGTGAACTACATTGGAAACTATGGGAACAAGGGATACAATCCAAGCTATCGCCCAAACCCCAACATGTCCTATAGAAACCCCAATGTGGAGAATCCTCAAGACCAAGTGTATCCTCCAAGGTATCCACAACAACAAAGACCTCCTTACCAATCTCAAGGAAGTCAATTTCAGCCAAGGCAAGGATATGAGCAGAGATCATCATATCCGCCCAAGGAGCCATATGCTTCTTCACCAAATCAAGCTCCTCCAAACCAACAAGGTGGAAGATTTGAAGGAATCCTCCAACAGATCATGGATGGCCAGAAGAGAAACACTAAAGAGATGTATGAGAAGATGGACACTTTGTTCAGCAATCTCAACACCAAGTATGATGCTGTTGCCACTCATGTGAAGAAACTAGAGACTCAAGTCACTCAAACTATGGAAGCTGTTAAGAGACAGGAAGCTGAATCCAAGAAGTCCTTTTGCAACTCAGCTGCCATAGAAGAAAGATTTGAAGACCAAGTTCCAGAATGGATGCTTTCAAAACCTACTGTTGATTGCATGATTTGGCCTGAAGAGAATTACCCAGAGAGAGAGTCCAATCGAGCTAGAAAGAGAAGACTCTTCCCAAAGATTATCCCCAAGACAGATAACTCAGGAAAGTTTGTGTGCCTTGTATCATCAAAGGTAACATTCTTGAGCAATCTTTGTGTGACACAGGAGCCAATGTGAACATCATGTCTAAGAGGATAGCTGACAAGATAGGCCTCACCAAGATAGAGCCATCATCCATCTCCATCAACTATGCTGATTCATTCTCACAAACCCCTATGGCTTTGTGCCTAATGTGATGGTGCAGATTGGAAATTGCTCTATCCCTACTGATTTCCAGATTGTGGAAATGAGAGAGAGTAGCCATAGACCTCTCATATTTGGAACCCCTTTCCTGTCTACTGTGGGTGCCATATTTGATTTCCCCAATCAAAGAATCTCTTTCAACAAGGTGAACAAGGGTATGTTCTTCCCTATGTGTTCAACAAAGAACTCTTTTGTTGACATGGTCCAAGAGGAGAAAGCTACTTTGAAGCCACCCCAAGAAGGAGAAACTGAAGAAACAATCAAGGAAGATCCCATTCCTAAGCCCAAGCAGCTTGCCAAACAAGCAAGGAGTAAGACTAAGGCCCCTACACCAAAACCGCCCAAGGGATCAACCAAGATTGAAGATGAGGCCAAGCCAAGAAGGAAGGTTAGAAAGCCTAGGTCTGGCCGCAACATGAAGCTTCTATTCCCAAGGAGCTTATTGATGAGAATCTAGAAGGATTCAAGGAGAAGTGACAAGAACTCTAAAGCTTTTTCCTAAGGCAGTAGTGCCAAGGGACATTCATGGAGAGATTGTCTATCCAGCTGTGAATCACCCACCAGATACTCATTGCAAGGAGAAAAGACTTGGAGGATCAAGGATGCCTCTTGTCTCTATCTTCTCCTGAGCGCCAAGCCTTACAGTCAAGCTAAAGACTTAAAACAAGCGCTGCATGGGAGGCAACCCATGAGGTACTTTTACTTTTCTTTCTTTAATTTTCTTAGTTTTTGTTTTGCTTTTGTGTTTTCTTTGTTTTAAGATAGGATAGAAGGAGAAAAAGGTGTGAAAACACAATCCGCGCCAAAACATTGGCCGCGGACGCGCAAAGAAATTTTGGCCGAGCAATTCTCATCTGGCCGACCGTCACGGTCGAGCCGGGAAGGAATACCGTGCTCGGCCGGATCTATTGCGCGACAGAAAACGTTCGCGCCACGCGCGAACCGGGAAAGAAGGCCGCGATCGGCCGAAATTTCGTATCGGAACGGACCGACCGTGCCGGTCGATCCGGGAAACAAACGCGGCCTCGGCCGAAATTCTCTCGGCCAAAACAATTTGGCCGACCAAATCGCTCGACCGCGACAAAATCCATCGGCCATCGGCCCAAAACTTTTCTAGGCCAAGGTAAGTCCCCTTTTCATTAAATTCAAACCGGTTTTAACCAATCTAAACCAACTTAAACCGGTTTTCAATCAAAATTCGAATTTGAAAAGGAAAATTGATAGGATTTAGATCTTATTTACTTCACCTTTCCCTTGAAAACCACAAGAACCTCTCTTTCTTCTCCAAAACCCTAAACTCCATTAGAGGAACTCTAAGAGTTTTGATTTCAAAACTTTTACTGTTCATAACTCTAAATTGGAATTTACTTGCTCTTGCAACCTTATTCACTTTTCAACACACAAGGTATGTCTTCTAACTCTAATCCTATGTTTATGCAAGATCGAAAATCTCAATAAGTTTCATGTTTGGTCTAAACTCTTGTCTAGACTTGAAATTAGCATCCTTATAGTCTTGTAATGAACTTGCTAGGTGGAACCTAGGTGGTTTAGAGTTAATTTGAAGTTTAATTTCACAATTGAATAGTTTTTCACAAAACTTATTGGGCATTCCAAACCCCTTATTCAAAGGTGAAATTGCTTGGGCATACTTCAATTCATTAGTTTATCTAGTGATTACTTGGATTAGAAACTCAATTTCTCTTGATTTGCTGAAAATTTTGATTTTAAGCACCATAATCTTGGGATGAACAGTAAAATCCGAAAATTAATTTTGAAAAAGTGAAATTTCTATTTTGTCTCTTTGATTCATGATTAAGCCTTGAGTTGTTCCTTTATTCCATATCATTATTGCAACTCAATTAGCTTATTCTTCTTTTGCATTAATCACAAACTCATATTTCTTCCCAAGAATTTGCTCTTGTAAGGTACACCAATGGCAAAGACAAAAGGAAATGAGAGTATGAAGAAGAAGAAGAACCCATTCATGGAGCCACCAAAGAAGCAAATCAAGCTAGGGAGTAGTAGCTCCAATGCAAGAGCAGCAATACCAACTTCACCACATTCCATTGATGCAATCAAGAACATGTGGAGAGTCCAAGAGAGGAGAAGATGATTGGGCACTTGTAACCTTTGTTGGAGAACAAAATCAAGACCCAAGAAAGTGTAAGAAGGCAATGGAGAAGGTGAACATCGAGCCATGTGTGAAGATGGACACCCAAACCCTTGATCTTCTCAAGATAAGAGATGATGTCACATGGTACATAAGGAAGCTAGGCTTGAGCAAGCTCTTCAAGCTAGATGTAGTGAGTACTCACAACTCACCAAGGAGTTCCTCTCTACAGTAGCTCTTGCCTTTCCCAACCACAATGGAGACCAACCAGCTGGTGATGGACTCCTACTCTTCAAGATAGGCGATGCCAATGGGCGCATATCCATCTCAGCTCTATGCCAACTCTTTGGACTTCCCAATGAGACAGCACATGACTTCAAGGAGAACTCAAAGAGGAAACAAGCTGCCTTTGCTGATTGGACACACTTTGCCAATGAACCATTCTTGCCTTCAAGGTCAAAGGTGTCTAGAATCACCCATCCAGCCATTCGCTATGTGCACCGCCTCATCTCCACCACTTTCCAATGCAAACAAGAAGCCAACAAGGTCACAACTGATGAGTTCTACATCCTCACCACACCATTCATCAAGCATGAGTACAAGGCCAACCTTGGACTTTTACTTGCCAAGACATTCATCAATGTGAGGAAGCTAGCTAAAGACTTGGAAGGCAACAAGAAGCTTTGTGTTCGTTTTGGGAGGCTTATCACGGCCATAGTACTGCATGTGGGGATTGACATTCCCAACTATGAGCCACTACCCAAGCCAACCCCTTTGGATCTCCATGCTCTTCAGCACATCCACTTCCTAAACCGTTGGACTAAAGACCCAACTCGGTTTTGCTATGAGTTTCCAATTGGTCCAGCCAACACTTCCCTTGTCTTGCTGCCACATGAGGACATCCCAAGCCTACGCTCAGGAGTTGTCACTTTCCAGCCCAATGAGGAAGAGTTCTATGTTCCATCAAGTGAGAAACCATCATTCCCCATGCTCACCTATCGCACACTTCAGCATGCAGTCAAGACTCAACGCCGCATCCAAGAACGCCATGTTCTCACTACTGGCATGGCCGCACATCAGCTCTAGACCGTGTTAACAAGCTGGAGAAGATAGTGGAATGCCAATCTCGCTTCATCTCACGCCTAGTCCGCGTAGTTCGCCACATTGCACCGGAGAGACTCTTTCGCCCTTCTTCCACCGCTAGAGAGCCATATGAGCCTGACCTTGGTGAGTTCTCACTAGACTCAGAGCTTGGTTCAGAAGGCGATGACCCCATAGATGAGGAAGAGAGTTCTTCTCACTGCCACACATAGTCATCTCAAGTGGTACTTAGTGCAATGGACACTTACAAATCTCCATTTTCTATCCCTATCTCATTTTAATGAATTTTTCTTTATTTTTCTTTTACTTTGAATATTACCTCTCACCTTAATGTGATTTGCTTTCACCGGGACGGTGCAAGTTAAGTCTGGGGGGAGTTTTATTGTGTTACTAATGCATTTTTCTTTCTTTTCTTATGTTTTATTCACTTTGTTTCATGTTTTTCAAAAAGTTTTATTGAGTCAAAAACCAGTCCGGAAGTTATGAACTTGCTTTGAGAATTGAGAGTGTTATGCTAACAATCCATGACCCTAGAGCAGAAACCAGCTAAAGGCACAAGCCTAACAGAAGCTCTTACAGTGGATCGACATGCTAGCTCAGCAAAATTTCTAAGGTAACCAAGCAATCTAGAGTTAACCTCACCTTAATCAATCTTAATTACTCTTGTCAAGGGGGTTGGCATACATGTCGACAGTTCCTTGCTTGATTTTCAATAAGATTTGTCTAATCTTTAAAGAGTTCTCCTCTCTCTCCCATCCCAAATGGTAAGTAATATTATGAGAAAAAGCTCAAAGAGCACAAGGACAACAAGTAAGCATGAGGAATGCATATGTCTGTACCTTCATGTCTTATGGAATACCTTAGTCAAACAAGGAACAAGCTAAAGACTTATCCTGTGGTTGAAAGAAGGGTCAATAGAAAAAATAAAATGATACCCTAGAAAAGTAGGGAGAAATTGACCTTTCAAAGTTCTGATGTGAGAAAGAGAGAGGAAAAGAACTCATTGCACTTAAAGAGGCAATCTTGGAGAGGATCAAGTGGGTAAGAACAAGTTCAATTGATCGATGTCCCCTTGATAAAGAATTCACGCTTTAAATTTATGCAAGAGGTTAGCAATAGAGAGTTTGGATTGCTGGATGAGACTAGTTGGGTTGGTATTGTTCGCTAAACTTGCAGGGTGTATGTGAAGCTAACCTTATGTTGTCTATGTTCATAGTGGAATACAGGAAAGGAACCTTTCACAGGATATTCAAAAGAGCAAGGGAGCTTCCACGTTTTCAAACCTCTTTCACGGATTTAGATTCTTTTTGCTTGAGGACAAGCAAAGATCTAAGTCTGGGGGAGTTGATATACCTCTAATTTACCCACTTTTTATACTGTTTTAGCATTGTTTTCTAATGGTTTTTGGCAGGTTTTCTATCTAAAAAGGTAGTTTTACTGTGTTTATAGTGTCTAGAGTCTAAACAGGTGAAATGATGCATTTTGGAGCAAAACCATAGGATTTGCACTTCAAGCCGCTCCATGCACAAGCACCAACTTTAAGAGGGCCCAGAAAAAGATCTACTCAATGGATTTCATCAAGACCAGTTCCCTGCGTGCTCTGATTGAGTTAACTTTCCAACGCAACTGGAATGGCCTAATTTGGATGAGTAGAAAAGGAGTTATACCAAAAGAGTGAAGACTGTCCAGACGGCTCTATCGAGAATCAGCGCCCAACCGCGCAGTCCGGCTGGCCGAGGAACGAATGTTCCGCGCTCGGCCAAAACATCCGTCCGACTGAAGTCTCGGCCAAAGTCCAAACCACTCGGCCGATCACGCACGACCCGGGAAACATGCCCGCGGTCGGCCAAGCTTCAAGCGTCACGCCACCCGCGCACGACCAAGCGCGCGAGCCGGGAACAAGCCTCGCGGCCGCGCAACCGTCTCGCGCCACGGCCGATGCATCCGTCCGAGCCGGGAAAGAACGTCCCACGTCCGGCCGAGAATTTCATCGGCCAAATTCAATCCGCTCGACCACGCCGGCCGACCGCGAATCATCCGACCCCGACCGTTCCGACTCGCCCACGACCCGATGTCCGGCCGATCGTCCCGACGACCGTCCCAACGCCGCGGTCGACCCGAAGCCCTTTTGAAGCCCAAACTTATGTTTTCAAGCCCGGCTTAACCCTAGCCGCCTCTAGAAAGACCTAGCACTATATATATGGATTTTTAGCCTCTTGAGAAAGAGAGCCGCCCTGTATTTCGATTTCCTACTCTAAGTTTTATTGCAATCATGTTTTCTTCATCTCTATGTGTGTTTGCTTTGATCATGTCTGAGTAATCCACTAGTTAGGTTGCTAGGGTTACTATTCAATGAGTTGCTTGCATGATCTTTGATTTCAATGATTAGCTAGGGATTATATTAGAGTCTTTGTCTCGTCTTGTGCACTTAACTAATGCTGATTGCTTTACCGCGCATCTAGTAATCCGATCTTAGGTTGATTTGAGCCTCGACAGTGCTGTATCATTCGCCGGACATATTCTTTGACAAGCTAGGTTTCTTAGACTGCGAAAGTTGATCTATCTATATCTAGTGAACTGTATCAGAACCTATTCATTCTAATGCTTGATCTAATCACCTAGGGACATACCAAAAGTTTAGCGACTAGGTAGATTAGCAAAGGAGCCGGAGCCTCGAAAGTGGAATGGTTTTATATTCGTGATCTGTGTTCTAGATGGTTCTTAATATCCCAATATCCCTAATCAATTAATCTATCATTGATTAGGGATATTGTTTTCTAATGGTTTTTGGCAGGTTTTCTATCTAAAAAGGTAGTTTTACTGTGTTTATAGTGTCTAGAGTCTAAACAGGTGAAATGATGCATTTTGGAGCAAAACCATAGGATTTGCACTTCAAGCCGCTCCATGCACAAGCACCAACTTTAAGAGGGCCCAGAAAAAGATCTACTCAATGGATTTCATCAAGACCAGTTCCCTGCGTGCTCTGATTGAGTTAACTTTCCAACGCAATGGAACGGCCTAATTTGGATGAGTAGAAAAGGAGTTATAACCAAAAGAGTGAAGACTGTCCAGACGGCTCTATCGAGAAAGCAGCGCCCAACCGCGCAGTCCGGCTGGCCGAGAAACTATTGTTTCGCGCTCGGCCAAAATCATATCCGTCCGTCTGAAGTCTCGGCCAAAGTTCGAAGTCAACCTGCCGATCACAAATCGCGACCCGGGAATATTGCCCCGACCATCACGTCACGCCGCTACGCGCACGACCATGCCGCGCGAGCCGGGGAACAAGGCCTTGCGGCCGCGCAACCTGTTCGCGTACCACGGCCGATGGATCCGTCCGAGCCAGGGAAGATCGTCCCACGTCCGGCCGAGAACCTTCGGCCAAATCCCTATCCGCCCGACCACGCCGGCCGACCGTGCAATCATCCGGCCACGACCGTTCCGACTCGGCCCAAGATCCAACTGACCGGCCGATCGTCCCACGACCGTCCCAATGCCGCGGTCGACCCGAAGCCCTTTTTGAAGCCCAAGTCTATGTTTTCAAGCCCGGCTTAACCCTAAGCCGCCCTAAAGAAGACCTAGCACTATATATATAGATTTTTAGCCTCTTGTGAAAAGAGAGCCGCCTTGTATTTCGATTTCCTACTCTAAGTTTTATTGCAATCATGTTTTCTTCATCTCTATGTGTGTTTGCTTTGATCATGTCTGAGTAATCCACTAGTTAGGTTGCTAGGGTTACTATTCAATGAGTTGCTTGCATGATCTTTGATTTCAATGATTAGCTAGGGATTATATTAGAGTCTTTGTCTCGTCTTGTGCACTTAACTAATGCTGATTGCTTTACCGCGCATCTAGTAATCCGATCTTAGGTTGATTTGAGCCTCGACAGTGCTGTATCATTCGCCGGACATATTCTTTGACAAGCTAGGTTTCTTAGACTGCGAAAGTTGATCTATCTATATCTAGTGAACTGTATCAGAACCTATTCATTCTAAAGCTTGATCTAATCACCTAGGGACATACCAAAAGTTTAGCGACTAGGTAGATTAGCAAAGGAGCCGGAGCCTCGAAAGTGGAATGGTTTTATATTCGTGATCTGTGTTCTAGATGGTTCTTAATATCCCAATATCCATAGCGGCCGCGAGGCCTTGTTCCCCGGCTCGCGCGGCATGGTCGTGCGCGTAGCGGCGTGATGTGATGGTGGCTTGGCCGACCGCGGGGCAATATTCCCTGGGTCGCGATTTGTGATCGGCCGGTTGACTTCGAACTTTGGCCGAGACTTCAGATGGACGGATATGATTTTGGCCGAGCGCGAAACAATAGTTTCTCGGCCAGCCGGACTGCGCGGTTGGGCGCTGCTTTCTCGATAGAGCCGTCTGGACAGTCTTTACTCTTTTGGTTATAACTCCTTTTCTACTCATCCAAATTAGACCGTTCCAGTTGCGTTGGAAAGTTAACTCAATCAGAGCACGCCGGGAACTGGTCTTGATGAAATCCATTGAGTAGATCTCTTTCTGGGCCCTCTTGAAGTTGGTGCTTGTGCATGGAGCGGCTTGAAGTGCAAATCCTATGGTTTTGCTCCAAAATGCATCATTTCACCTGTTTAGACACTAGACACTATAAACACAGAAAAACTACCTTTTTAGATAGAAAACCTGCCAAAAACCATTAGAAAACAATGCTAAAACAGTATAAAAAATGGGTAAATTAGCGGTATATCAGTTAGCTAGGCATTGAGAAGCCCAATATAAAGAGAAACCTTGGTACAAGGAGTTTTAAGAGCAGGATCGATTAAGTGTAGCTTCCCCTGGTTGAAAAACCCTGTCTTGAACCCTAATTCTCGCATTAGCTTGTTAAAGTCGCTGCCTTTATTACTTTTTACTTCAACTCGACCCTAAACTCGATCGAGCTTGGTTACCCTGTTCCCACTCGACTCGAGTCCTTGGTCGAGCTGTTGCTCTACTGCTTTATTTACTTACTGCATTGCTTTACTGTTTCATTAGGTTGTTAGTGTTACCATCTTATCACTTACTGTTTGCTTGACTTCCTGGTTATTGCTTATTCTCATAGAGTGACAATTTCACCCATATGGATTGATACCCCTTATACTATAATGACTATGATGGTTAAGAAGAATTGCTGATTGTGATTGTGTTTTGCATCTTACCACCTCATCTTATATACCACTGTTGCATTCCACCACATTTCATATCATATCTTTCACATCCACACACAAATCCTATCATCAATGTGTCACATAGTTTTAATGTTACTGATCTATCTCCTTATGAAGATGCAGATGAACCTGTTTTGAGGTCAAAACCTCTTGAAGAGGGAGGGAATGATGAGGACATTGACCCAACTAAGGTCATAGAAAACATACCGGTGGTCAAGGACTCACCCATGACGCGTCCCAAGACCAGGAGACTTCAAGAAGGATTCAATGAAGCTGTTGAGACCCTCCTCAACACCATGTTCCTTGGAGATTTGCTCAATACCCCGCCGCCTAACAACTGCTTGAGGAACGACGTTAACCCCTTGAGCAACACCATTGCCCTGGAACTAGCCTTAATGGAGGATTTTGCAAGCATGAGCCTAGAGGAGGATCACCCTCATTTAAGGCACTGTAAGTCTATTTACTTGGCAGGTAATGGAGTTCAGAACAAGTCGGAGCTTGAGGACATGATCAAGACCCGCAATGTAGCAGACAAGGAGCTTAAGGAACATGAAGACGTTTTGGGAGCTACTAAAGAAGAAACACTTGAAGATCTTCACCAAGTCAACTCTCAAGGCACTGAAGAGGAAGACTTCATCATTGGACCAGGAAGGAGTGGACCCGGACCAGACAAGCTCTACTCAACACCACCTCAGCTCAACTCGCGCCAAAAGCAGGTATATTCAATTTATACAATTTGTGCAGGTAAGGGCGAGTATCCCAGTGGTTCTTAGGCTCAGAGACAACTCCAGTTCAAGCCCAGAAGAAGCCACACGAGTTTGGTTTAGTTTAAGTGTTATTTCCTTTTCTTGTATTTTTATTTATTTTTGCTTTTTGTTTCTGTTCAAGAGAGCGTGATGTGCTTTCTTTCCTTATTTGAATTTCGGCCCAAGGGCTAGCTGAAGAGCTGTTTATAAAGCTCCCCTGCAGCTTTGTATTTTTGGTTACCTTTGATTATTAATAAAATACCGTATTTCTTCTTTGCTCAAGCTGCCGCTTGCTTAGAACTCTAGCTTGTTCTCTTGTGTGTGTGATTCACCAAGGACGAGTTTGCTGTATCAGAGATCCTTCCATCATCTATGTGGTGCCATCGATCCACCTTCGACATCCCCTTTTCGTTCATACAAGAGAGAGCGTGATAGCCAGCTTGTTGAGCACCGCCTCGATTCAAGTCTTGTGGAATCAAGCATTGTCTTACCATCCTCATCCACAGATCTAAAGGAGAGAGCGTTAAAGCCAGCCTTCAGATCCCATCAGTCCATCACGTGCCATCAGATCTAAGCCTCACCACCGAGTCTTACATCAGAGAGTATGGTGAGGACATCAAGTCATCATCAGCTGAGGAGCACGGAATCCAGAGCCCAGAGGAGGAGAGCATGAACCTGAGGAGAGCTAAGGAGACAAGCAAGCTATGTCTAGCTCAACTAGAGGCCGACATCAAACATCCAAGCTGAAACATCACTTGGAGAACATACTAAACTCATACAGAGTTCATCTCGAAGAAGAATCAACCAAAAAGGATTCCAGATTAAGGAGATATTGAAGATACATTCTGGAAGGTCTTCAAGGAGGTCATAGGTCAATTCATCGAATCATTACGGTCCAACAAGGAGGATCTAAGCCACAAACCCAACTGTTATGGATTCTCAACTCATCAGAGGAAGACGTCAAATTGGATTCGTGACCAAATTCAATTTGGTTCAAGAGTTATCGATTTTACAAATCGGGTAAACCGGAACTTTCCCGATTTGGATTCCGGCGTGGTAATTGGAGGTTTTCGATCAAGACCAGAAGGAATTGAGCTATAAACCAACCTGTTATAGAATCGTGACTCAATCTGGGAGCTTTTCAGATTGGATTCATACCAATAGCCGGTTCGGTTTGAGAGTTATTCAACTTTCAAACCAGATGATTCTCCACTTGCCTTATTTGGAAGCTCACGGGTTTAATCACTTACAAACCCGACTTTGGCGACCAGGAGAGATATCTACGCTTCCAGAAGATCCATCCAACCGTTCAGGAAGTGTCTCTATGATCTTCCCATGCACCAGCACCCACAGAATCAGGCGGATTCTCATATATGTGAACTTTTCTTTTCTAGATGCGTTCACACTTAGAGCCATAAGTCACCAACGGCTCTTTATTCTTTGCTGCTGCGTTTTGAAAGCTCATTCACTGAACCTAGACGTCCCAATTTTCCACTCCTTCACACCCATGCTATCAAGATACAAGGAGCCTCCAAATCTCCTTATTTGGTCCGATTTGGTCATCAAGCCTCCAACGGCTCTATTGCTCCTTCATTGTTGCGATTTGTTTACTTATTTTAGTTTTACACCGTTGTACTAGAGCCTATATAAGCTCAGTTTCGTTTTCATTGTAAATCACCCTTGAATATACATTTAATAAAGTTGAGTTTTGTTCTTGTTCAAGCACTGTCTTGAGAGAAACCTTTGCTCTGTTCTTATTGTGTGAGATTCACATAAGATTAAGTGTCTTGCTGTATCAGAGATCCCCCTCATAACCTCTGTGGTGCCTTCAATCCATCTTGACCAGATTGCTTTTGGAATCAGGTTGTCTTGCTCAAGTGCTGCTTGTGGAATCATCCAGCATCCTTTCACCTCATCTCTACCTTCATCCATCAGTCATTCCGCCTGTTGCTCCTGAATCCTTCTGTAATAAGATTTGGTGGATTCCAATCTTACATCATCTGGTATCAGAGCCAAAGTTTCTGCCTTTGGTTTTCTATCCCTCTATCTTGTTATTTGTTTTTGCTTTTTCGTTTTCCCTTTTGCATCATATAAGAAAACCCATAAAAATTGCTTCTCTTTGCTTAGTACTTTGTTTCTGTTGCTATTTCCATTTGATAAAAAAAAAATCATAAAGAGTTTCTTGTGTTTGCTAGTTCATATTGCTTCAATCTGTTTCTGCTTGCATCATTCATATAAATCAAAAAAAAAAATTTAAGAAAGTTCATCTATTTAATTGTTGCATCATTGCTGTTTCTCACTTGATTTGTTTCTGTTCTGCTTCATTTTATTTTTCATAAATTGATAGTTTGCTTTTATTTGTTTCATTAAAACCGAAAAATCAAAAGAAAACAGTTTGTTAGAGTTGTTGTTAATTGAGTTAGTGAATTACATCAATCTGTGTTTACACTTGATTGTTTGATTAGCTAGCTTAATCTGCTGAGAATTATCTTCTTAAAATTATGTGGTATTTTTAATTTTCTTGTTGTTTTTGTTGAGTGAAAGGGCAAACAAGTGACCAGGAAGTATCATGGCAGAGGAAGAAGATAGTTGGGATCAATTAATTGATACAGACCAGAGCATGAGCGAAGAAGATGCATCTTACATGGAAGACTCATGGTCCGAGGAAGGTGTTGACGAAGGTCTTGACGACTATGGTAAAGAACCAGGCAGAGAAGAACCTGAACCTGAACCACCAGACCTTGTTCACTGCAGTTCAAGTCAGAGGAGGTGGTATCAAGAAGAAGAAGCCGCATGGGGAGAGCAACACCATGAGGAGGACGACACTAGAGAAGAGTCTTGGACAGTAGATGATAGCTCTCAAGGAGAATATGAGCAACCCAGAAGCTGTGAAGAGCTGAACACTACACAGCCTTACAATGCACTGAGAACTGTCTTGAGCAGTCCATACAAACCCTCTCACGTCCCCAAACCTAAGGTTCACGTTAACTCTAGTTATCATTTTACTAATGAACTTCAACTTTATACATTACAGGGAAGAGAAATTACTTAGAGTGGGAAAGAAACCTAGATGAGTGGTTATACTACAACCACATCCTTAAGGAGCAAAGATTAGATTATGCAGTTGGCCAACTTAAAGGAAGTGCTTATCAATGGTGGCTGCAAGAAGAAGATGATCGCTGGTTTTACAAAGAGCCAACCATCTCTACTTGGGGAGAGCTTAAAGCCTTGCTGAGGAATAAATATGCACAAGGAGTTTGAATATCGAAGATCAAGGAACTCTATCCAAGATGTTTCCTAAACCCCAAAGGAACTAAATCAGCTCGAACAGAAAGCCTTAGAGGCCAAGGTAAGCATTAGGTTCCTAATAAACCTTTAGAAGTGACGAGCTAGAAGTGTAGAGACAGGGGATATACTGCCAAGGAATTCCCAAGAAAAGGAGCTGCATCATAGGTCACATGGCTAAGGCATGTCCAACCAAAAGGCTATTAAGTGTAAAACCTATAGAGACTAAAAACATTGGTTCTAAGGGCATACTCCTCCGTTTCACTTTATATGTCCTTCTAGGCCTTTTTCTATTTTTCGTATTACTTGTCGTTCACGAGTAACAAGACAGCTTTTGTTGTAGAATTCCAAATATAACCCAACTAAAATAACATTGTTCATAAAATAAAAACAACTAAATATTCATGTGTTAGAATATGTGAAGAGTCTTTTTATCCTCAACATAGTCAACATAGTCAGTTATTGTAAATATAACCTTTCATTACTTACACTCCGATTGACCAAAAAAAAATATTTAAAACCTTACGTGTATTGTGTTGTGTTGTCTTCAACAATAAAATGGCAATTGTTTTTGAGAAAAATCTACAGATAAAAGAAAAATAAAACTTGAAGAATGAAAGGCAAACTCATGATGTCGATGTCAAAGTGGTGCATGATTTCGATCTCGACAAAGTGTATTACGAAGACGAAGAACTTCAAGCCGAACTGTGTGTCGATTATGAATCCAAACTTGTAAAAAAAATCAAGCTTCTGGAACTCTCTGGAATAGTTGCTTACATGGTGCTACTTAATTTCTCCTTAATTTCAGTTGTTCTCAGCTAATCAATGGTAAATACTGCAAATATATTTTCTGAAAAAGTTTGGTGTTTATGTGTCGTGAACTCGGTGAAGAAGAAGATAAGTGAAAGGAGTTATTCTTCTTTTCGTAAAATAAAAGAAAAAGGCAGAAAAACAACTAATTTTTCTGGAGATCAATGGCTCCTTTTTTCGAAGAACACCAATGAAGATCTGGATTTTGAATATTCAGCTTGCAAAATTTTTTACGGACAGTACTAACAAAATGACAGCTTCAGAGTTTGGGGTACAAGGAAAAAGGGCGGATTTACAAATTGTGGGTTCATGGGGAGCGATTGGATCCAAGTGGAACACAATCCATAACTCATCGAGGTTTGGGAGTGGATTTTCAGCGAGGGTTATACACATGTCCGTAATGAGCTCTGATCAAGACATATACTCAGTGTTTTTCTACTGGAGGAAAGCGGTTGTACTGGAATTAGATCATGTTGTGGTAGGAAGGTTAATGGAAACTTACTTCCTGGAGTTTTTTATAAAAAGTTTAAGTAATGAGAGTTCTTAGCTGAAATTGCCAAGGTTTGGGGAATAAATTTACCATTAGTCATCTTCGAGAACTCTGGGGAAAATTCAAACCGGAGTTCCTTTTTCTTTCGGAAACGAAACAGGGGTTTGGTTTTGTCCAGCAATTTCAATTTCATTTTGGTTACGATATGGTTTTGATGTGCGGGATCAGGTCTTCCCCTTTCCTATCCCTGATTCTGCAAGTGCACAGGTCAGAAGTAGTAAACGGGTATCGAACACAAGGACCAGATTGCACACTACAAGTTATGAGTTCAAGATCAAGCTAGGGCAAAAGTATGAGTTTGGTTGAGTGCAGAGAAAGTAAAGCATGCAAGTAATAAAAGTGAGAATTCAATAGGAGAGAAAAGTTAAGCAATAGGATAGTCTTGGAATAAGCAATTCAAGAAGCATGAAATCAATCAATTAGGGTTACCGCATGATATATCCATATTTTGCATGTTTTCACGTAGTATTTTCATATGTTTTTAAGTACTTTCATAAAGGTTTTATGCCTTTGGAGGTAGTTTTCTTGTATTTGTTGGTTTTTGAGTCTTAACAGGGTAAACTATCAAAAAGGATGGAAAAAGGAGCAAAAGAGCCTCAAACCATGATCCATGCAAGTTTCCAAGTCAAGAACATCATTTTATCTCCAAGTGTCAATTCTCGCTATCGAGCAGGAACGAAGCTTCGGAAGTTTGGCCGCGAACGGAGGAGTTCCCGACGTCCAAAAGTCACGATCTTGATATGGAAAGATAGCTACTTGAGTCATGCATCACGTAGAAGTGGAATGAAGTCATTTCGATCCACCATCGGGCCGGAACTTATTTTCTACCGAGACATGTCCGGTTAGCGAGCAAACGGAGCCCATGGAGGATTTGGAGTGTCTAAAGGCCCGATAAACCGCGCCCAAGGCCTTGCCTCAACAAGGGAGAGTCCTAGCTAATGTTTGGAGGCTTCCTTGGTGTAATGCCAGCCCATACACGACGTGAGAGAAGAGGCCCGGCTCATGGGAAACTTTCCTTTTCCGGCACTTCAATGCCCTAACCGACCTACAACCTATAAATACATGTTTTTAGCCTCAAAACAAAGGAGAGTCGAGGGTTTCTAGGTTGGCCGTCAGAGAGAGAAGCCAGAAGAAGCTGCGCCGTCCAGAGGAAGAGAAAGGAGGCGCCGTTCAAGACCCTTAGCACAACATTCAACCTTTGTTTTCTTTTCTTCTCATTCTTCTGTATCGGATCTAAGAGTTTCAAGGGAGAATCCGACTTTGTTCATCAATAGAGAAGCTTTCTTCATCCCTTTACCTCTTTTAATACTTTCATAATGCTTTCAATCATAACTTGTTGTGTTGTTTGCATCATGGCTGAGTAGATCCTTTGCTAGGCTAATGGTAAATCAATGAGTTCATGAATTGTCAACTTTAATCTTTTGATCTTGTGAGTTGGGATTATATTTTGAGTTCTTCACCTTTACTTGAGCATAATGCCGTTTGCTTTTCTGATCATCTAGCATCGGATCTTGGGTTAATATACTCTCCAAAAGCTTGCTATATTGCCGGAACTAGTATTTGGTGAGCAATAGGTCATGGCCAACGAAAGTTGAGTTATGGACTATTGTGAACAATTGAATCTTGAACCTTGTAATGCATGTTTACAACTTGTAATAACCAACGAAAGCTGAGTCTATTAGGTTGTTTAAACATAGTGGTTGGAGCCACGAAAGTGGAAAGACTATACCTTAGTGATTTGAGTTCAAGAATGATAATGAATCCCTTCCACTTGATTGTTTGTTGATAATTTGTGATGCTTTGCGATTTGGCTAATGCCTAGTACTTTCCCTTATTTTTTACACCTCATTCTAATCACTGCTTTGTTCTCTTTTGCTTTGCTACTCACAACCTCTCATATTTTGTTCTAGCTTGATTTTCAATCTTTGTAGGTTTGAAGTGAAATCACATCTCCCTGTGGTTCGACCCCGACTAAACTACTGCTCTTGATGTGCACTTGCAGCTACATTGGTTGGGTTAAAAATATTATCATTTAAGGAAGCTAAACCCAGCCTCCATCACCGCACTTAGGTGCTAATCTAGAACTTGAAACACTATGGTATGATCATTCCACTGTCGAGGCTCCGACCCCTTTGTTAATCTACCTAGTCGCTAAACTTTTGGTATGTCCCTAGGTGATTAAATCAAGCATTAGTTCGATCAAGATCAATTGTTCACAACCTACAAGTAGATCAACTGTCGCAGTCTAAAAGAGATTGCCCACCAAATACTAGTTCAGGCGAATGATACAGCACTGTCGAGGCTCAAATCAACCTAAAGGCATATGCTAATTGGCCAGATTAACAACAAGCATTAAGTATAAGCAAAGATGGAGATTATAAGTAAAACCCTAATTGTGATCAATCATCAAGCATACATGAATGCTATCCTTTGACTTCCTATCACTTAACAAGTAAACTACTCAGACATAGAGAAGGAACACGAATTCATATTCATAAGAACAGAGATTCGAATCCTCTCTAGAAAGAGTAACAAGCAAGAACAAAGTAAAAGCAAGCAAAACTTTATTAAGATGTAAAATAGATTGTGGTCTCTCTCCTTCTTGAGTTACAAGGCTAAAAAGAAGTATTTATAATGCTCTAAGTATAAGAAAGCGGCTAAACCTAATCTAGCTAGGTCGGCGCCGGCTTTGGGCTTGAATTGTGCGGATTGGGCTTCAAAAACGGCTTCGGGTCGACCGCGGCGTTCGGACGGTCGGTCGGGACGATCGGCCGGACAGTCGGGTCTTGGGCCGAGTCGGAACGGTCGTGGCCGGATGATTCGGTCGGCCGGCGTGGTCGGAGCGGATGAGATTTGGCCGATGGTTTCTCGGCCGGACGTGGGACGTCTTCCCGGCTCGGACGGATGCATCGGCCGTGGTACGCGAACGGGTTGCGCGGCCGCGAGGCTTGTTCCCGGCTCGCGCGCATGGTCGTGCGCGTGGCGTGCGTTGTGGCTTGGCCGACCGCGGGCAATGTTTCCCGGGTCGTGATGCGTGATCGGCCGGTGGTTTGGACTTTGGCCGAGACTTCAGTCGGACGGAATACTTTGGCCGAGCGCGGAACATCGTTCCTCGGCCAGCCGGACTGCGCGTTCGGCGCTGATTCTCGATAGAGCCGTCTGGAGCAGTCTTCACTCTTTTGGCTATAACTCCTTTTCTACTCATCCAAATGAGGCCGTTCCAGTTGCGTTGGAAAGTTAACTCAATCAGAGCACGCAGGGAACTGGTCTTGATGAAATCCATTGAGTAGATCTTTTTCTAGCTCCATCCAAAGTTGATGCAGGGGCATTGAACTGGTTTAGAGTCCAAATCTCTGTTTTGCTCCATAATGCACCTTTTTACCTAAAATGACTCTTTGCACTATAAATCCATAAAAACTACCTTTTAACACAAGAATCCACTAGAAAACCATTAGAAAACCATAGTAAAATAGCATAAAAAGTAGGTAAAATAGAGGTATATCAACTCCCCCAGACTTAGATCTTTGCTTGTCCCCAAGCAAAAAGAATCTAAACTAGTGAAGAGGTTTTGAAAAACGTGGGAACTCTCTTGCTTCTTTGAAAATCCTGTGAAAGGTTCCTTTCCTGTATTCCACTAAGAACATAGTCAACATAAGGTTAGCTTCACATACACCCTGCAAGTTTAGCAACAATACCAACCCAACTAGTCTCATCCAGCAATCCAAACTCTCTATTGTTAACCTCTTGCAGAAATTTAAAGCGTGAGTTCTTTATCAAGGGAAATCGATCAATTGAACTTGTTCTTACCCACTTGATCTTCTCCAAGATTGTCTTTGAAGTGCAATGAGTTCTTTTCCTCTCTCTTTCTCACATCAGAACTTTGAAAGGTCAATTTCTCCCTACTTTTCTAGGGTATCATTTTATTTTTTCTATTGACCTTTCTTTCAACCACAGGATAAGTCTTTAGCTTGTTCCTTGTTTGATAAGGTATTCCATAAGACATGAAGGTACAGACATATGCATTCCTCATGCTTACTTGTTTTCCTTGTGCTCTTTGAGCTTTTTCATAAACATTACTTACCATTTGGGATGGGAGAGAGAGGTGAACTCTTTAGACAAATCTCATTGAAAATCAAGCAAGGAACTGTCGACATGTATGCCAATCCCCTTGACAAGAGTTATTAAGATTGATTAAGGGTGAGGTTAACTCTAGATTGCTTGGTTACCTTAGAAATTTCGCTGAGCTAGCATGCGATCCACTCTAGGAGCTTCTGTTAGGCTTGTGCCTTCAGCTGATGTTTGCTCTAGGGTCATAGATTGTTAGCATAACACTATCAAATCTCAAAGCAAGTTCATTGTTCCGGACTGGTTTTGACTCAATAAAACAGAAGTTTTGAAAAAGTGGGTTAGGAAAAACCAATTATAAGATCAAAACAACCATGAACAAACACATTAGTACCGACAATCCCCCCAGACTTAACTTGCACCGTCCCGGTGAAAGAAAATCCAATTAAGGGAGTTAAAGAAAGAGGTAATAAAGTGGTTGTGAATGTAAAAAGAAAGATGTAACCTGATTTGGTGTTACTTGAAGAATGGTGAATGCAGTGGAATGATGGTAGTGATGGAATGCAAGTGTGGTGAGGTGGGATGGGTGAGATGCAGATGGAATGAGATGGGATGGTGTGTTGGGCGGCTTGAGAGGACATGGGCGAGCGTGGAGAGGTTCTGCTCGGCCATCTAAGTCGCGCCAACTATGAACATTCTTCTTGTGGTATATCTTCTTTACCATTGTGTGGTTCTTAGATTCCTGTATCCAAAACTCAAAACAAAACTAGACATTAACTAAAACTAATTGAAAAGAAAAGTAAAGAAAAACACCTTTCATGGGTTGCCTCCCATGCAGCGCTTCTTTTGAGTCATTAGCTTGACTGATAGGATCTCTTAGTTGGAGATGGGGTAAGGGCACGGCCTGAGACATAGTCTTTTAGTTCTTGTCTCATTGTGACCTTGAGTGTGGTCTGGTGGCTCTCTTGGGCGGCCTTGGGCAGTGATGAGGTAAGACAGCTTGTTTGGTGAGATGAATGGTATGGTCTTGTAAAAGACTGTCTTGTCAACATTGGCTAAGGACATTCGCCGGTTTGGAAGGTCCATGACAGCTCCAGCAGTGGCCAAAAAGGGTCGGCCTAGTATCAATGGTGTGTCACATCCTCCTTGAATGTTTATGACATGAAAGTCCACCGGGATCTTGATATCTCCAATCTCTAGAAGAACATCAATAACAACTCCTCTTGGCTTGGCTATAGTATGGTTAGCAAGTCCAATACTAATTTGAGCAGGTTGCAAGCGTGTGATGCCAAGGAGTTTGGCGGTTTGGGTTGGCATGAGGTTTATGCAAGAGCCAGAATCGCATAGTGTTCTATCAAAGTAATGACCATTTACTTGACAGGGAATAGAGAATTGACCTGGGTCTTCAATCTTGTAGAGGGTCTTGAAGGTTGGCTGAACTTTAGCTTTCTCAAAAAGCTCTTTATGTCCTCAGGTGTCTCTTGCAGTTGTGGAAGAAAGGTGGTGAATGGGTAGTGGCGCCAAGCTTGTTTGGAAGACATGCTGGCTGGAAGAGTTTGGACAAACTGATTGAACTCAGCAAGCTTCTCTCTTGATATGGAATTGACATACCACTTGGGTGGTGGTGATGATGGTGGTGATGGTGGTTGATTGACTGCATGAGGGGCAAGGGGAAATCGTGCCTTCCTGAAAAGTTGGTGTATCTCTTCTTTGTTTTCACTAGTTGTGAAAAAGAACTCCACTAGACCATGTTTATCCCAAGCTTCTTCAAAAGTGACATAGAATGGAAGTGATTTCACCTTAGCATTGAACTCTTTAAGCTTCATGGGGCTTATCTTGTTGGGATCAATGGGATCATATTGCCAAGTATCTTCTTCTTCAGTAGGTGGTGATGGTCTTTGCATTGCTTCCAGTCTTGGAAGTGTAGAAGCTTGACTTCTTGGTGTTGGTGAGAAACGAGGGTCTAGGGCTAGGTGTATCCATGCTCTGTTTTGGGGAAGCATTGATGTCGATGCTCTGCTCTTCATCTTCATCATTCAATTGTTCCTCATACTCTCTTTCTTCTTCTTCATTGTCCTTCATGGACTTGAGTAGTGCTTCTTCTTGTGATGGCATTGCAATAAAAGGGAGGGTGGTTGGGTGTTGGACTCCTCTCTCTCTTGTAAGTTGGCATGAGATGATCCTTCAAGGGCTTGTAGGCGGTTGTAGATTGATCCAAGATGCTTGCTATTGCCATAGCTAGTATCTTCAATTCTCATGCTCTTGTTCAGCAACTCTTGATATTTGGAAGCAACATCAAGCTTAACTAGGGTCAGAGATCGATCATGATCCTCTCTTAACTTCTTAATGTCTTCATCAAGCTTGATCACTTGCTTGAATAGGACTTCAGATTTGTTTCCAAGGCTCTCATGGATGAAATCGATTCTTCTCTCCATCTTCTTTGTACTCTCTTCTTGATTTCTCAAGTACTCTTGAAGCATATCTTCAATCTTGGTTTGGCGCGCAGCTTGATAGCTCTCCCTTGGGAAAAGTGGTGTCTTGTTTATGTCTGGTGATGATGGATGGTGATTGTGAATAGCTTGGGCGTGGTGGTGGGACATAAATAGGACCTTTCAAATCTGTGAGGAAAGCTTCCTTTGTATCCATTCCAAGTCTTGAAAGCATGTTGGGCATTGAACTTAGCCCATTCTTTGGCTTGTCCAGCTAGTGATAGTTGGAAAAGTTGTATCTTCTTGGGGTTGTCTCCAAGTCCATAGTCATGGCAAAGCTGCTCAAAGTTGCATAGATGCTCCTTTGCACATTCTGAAGTAGAGTTGTAGAAAGGATTCCTCTCCACATGCTTGATTAGCTCTTCATTCAGAACTTCAGGATGAGGTGGTATGCCTCCCCATTCTTCTTCATCACGCTCTCTCTCCAGCTGATGAGAGTAGTGGTGGTACTTGGATTTGAAAGGTGGTTTCCTTGCAAATCCTTTCCAAGAAAGCTTCTCTAAAATCGATCCATGACTCGATTGTAGAGGTGGTTCATGCTGCGCCCAATCTAGTGCTGGTCCAGCTAGTGATGTGCTGAATAGCATCATCTTCTTCTCAAAGTCAAAAACTCCATAGGAATCACAAAGGTTGTCAAAGTGATCTATGTGCTCCAGTGCATACTCTGAAAACAGATCATGGAATTGATCTCTCTTCACGAACTCGATCAGCTCAGGGTTAATCTCCTCTTCTGGTGTGGCTAGAAGGTACTCTTCTTGGTGTGATGCGGCTTGGCTAGACGTCTCCAGGTCGGCTGCTTCAAGGTAAGGAAGAAGTTTCTTCTTTGTCTTCAAAGTGGATTGTAACACCCCCGAACCGTCCTAGGCACAGACGTTCCGAGAAGCGCCACAAAATGTCGATGTTCGCCGAATAGGCCATCCCAGACTAAGAACAAATCAGAGCCCAGGTCAGCCCGTTCCACGAACTCGACCCTCTTGACCAAAGCCTAAGGCTTGCCAACCCGTACTTCGGTCAGGAGTTGTGTTAGCCCGGACCAAGCTAATATCATTGGAACATAAGGTCTTTACATAAAACTTTCCTTTATTAAAATATCAGAGTGCTTACAAAATCCGACTTAAAAACATGCGGATCGATCCTTAGTTCCAAACCAAACAACAAACCATATTTTACAAAAACATACCACAAAACTATTCTGGCGCCTACTGCCTGCAGCGGTCCGCTCTACTTCACACCTCTACGGTCACCTGAAAACATTAAACAAAAGGAATGAGTAATCTAATATTACTCAGTGAGTCTAGGACCTCTATACAAGGGGGATTCCCTAAACTCCAAACACAAACGCCGCGGGCTTTGTAATCCCGCCTCCACCTGCAATGAGGTTAGCACAATACAACATATGCAATCACATGCAATATTGATGTCATAGTCTTAAGACTAACCGTACCCCAATCAAACAAGAACAGGTACGATCAACCCAAGACTATAACAACAATCAAACAATCTATATGCAATGCCCATGCAAACCTAGACAAGTATCTAATACTTGTTTTCTATATGCAATGAGGCGCCTAGGTGCATTAGCCACATTCTCTGCCCACGCCTGTGAAGGTTCACGCTCATCCGGAATCACACAGAAACTAGATGAACGCCTTCACCCGGGCACTACAGTCCATCGCGGTACCCGGTTCATCCTTCCATCTATTGGCCTTACTGGCGCACCATGCCAATGTCTGGTTGGATCCCATATCGTCATATGGTACCATACTCGGCCAAGGCAGCTGACCAGGTTATCCTCCGAGTCTTCCTCCCTTCATGCACAGCCTCCTCGCTGCCAATTGATATACCTCTAATTTACCCACTTTTTATACTGTTTTAGCATTGTTTTCTAATGGTTTTTGGCAGGTTTTCTATCTAAAAAGGTAGTTTTACTGTGTTTATAGTGTCTAGAGTCTAAACAGGTGAAATGATGCATTTTGGAGCAAAACCATAGGATTTGCACTTCAAGCCGCTCCATGCACAAGCACCAACTTTAAGAGGGCCCAGAAAAAGATCTACTCAATGGATTTCATCAAGACCAGTTCCCTGCGTGCTCTGATTGAGTTAACTTTCCAACGCAACTGGAACGGCCTAATTTGGATGAGTAGAAAAGGAGTTACAACCAAAAGAGTGGAGACTGTCCAGACGGCTCTATCGAGAAACAGCGCCCAACCGCGCAGTCCGGCTGGCCGAGGAACGCATGTTCCGCGCTCGGCCAAAACTGTCCGTCCGTCTGAAGTCTCGGCCAAAGTCCAAACCACTCGGCCGATCACGCATCACGACCCGGGAAACTCAAGCCCGCGGTCGGCCACGCCACAACCGCCACGCCACCGCGCACGACCAAAGCGCGCGAGCCGGGGAAAAGCCTCGCGGCCGCGCAACTCCTCACGTACCGCCGATGCTCCGTCCGAGCCGGGAGAACACCTCGCGTCCGGCCGAGAGATTTCATCGGCCAAACTCTATCCGCCGACCACGCCGGCCGACCGTGAATCCATCCGGCCCCGACCGTTCCGACTCGGCCACACCCGATTGTCCGGCCGATCGTCCCGACGACCGTCCCAACGCCGCGGTCGACCCGAAGCCCGTTTTGAAGCCCAATTTCATATTTTCAAGCCCGGCTTAACCCTAAGCCGCCTCTAAAAGACCTAGCACTATATATATAGCTTTTTAGCCTCTTGTGAAAGAGAGCCGCCCTTGTATTACATTTCATACTTTGAGTTTTATTGCAATCATGTTTTCTTCATCTCTTTGTGTTTTGCTTTGATTATGTCTGAGTAATTCACTAGTTAGGTTGTGAGATCTATCAAAGAGTTCATGGTTTGATAGGTTGTTAGAAGTCACATAGGGTTTATCATATCGCATCTTCGCCTCTGCTTGAATTCATTGCTGCTTGCTTTTCTGATCAACTAGCATCAGATCTTAGGTTTCATATACTCTCCAAAAGCTTGCTATATAACCTGAACTAAGTATTTGGTGAGCAAAACTTCATAGACTGCGAAAGTTGATCTATGCGGGGTTGTGAACAATTGGGTCTTGAACGAACTATTGCTTGATTTAATCACCTAGGGACATACCAAAAGTTTAGCGACTAGGTAGATTAACAAAGGGGTCGGAGCCTCGACAGTGGAAAGATCATACAATCGTGACCTGAGTTCTAGATAGCGCAAACCCTAGCGAACCTTCTAATATCTTGTTAACCTTGAATCTCTGCGAGTTTCTCATTGCCTAGCGTTTCCCTCTATTGATTTTCATAAACCGTTTAATCTGCTGTTTGATTTACTTGTTACACAATCAAAACCCTAAATCATACTTGTTTTCTAGCTATATTAGACTTGCAATACTCGAAGTGTACTTATCTGCTCCTTGTGTTCGATACCCGTTTACTACTTTTGACTGTGCACTTGCAGAATCAGGGATAGGAAAAGGGAAGACCTGATCCCGCGATCAAGTTTTTGGCGCCGTTGCCGGGGAGCAATACAGCTACCTTCGAGTTCCCAACTATAGTCTAGCCTAGAATTTCGTTTTTCCTTTTTGTTTTTGCAAACTTTCAACTTTTGTTTTTCCTTTTTACTGTTTTCTATTTAAAGAATCTTGCCTCTATCCTTTCAGGTACTAAGCTTGAAAGAGGAAGTCTAACATGAGTGATTCAGACGAGCAAGAGGATAGAGAGAACTTGGCCGCGAGAGAGATCGCGCTGGCCGCGCACAATCGCGCCAATGATGGAGCGCGACACAATGAAGAAGTCATGGGAGACTTCGATTCCAATCCAACACTGCTAATAGATCGGAATCCCATCCAGCCGCCACTTCCTGAAGGAAGAAGCTATGAGATTTCACCGGAGATTATTGGTTTGGTGAAACAAAACCAGTTCCAAGGGAAACCCCAGGAGAATCCTTTGGAACATATTGATGCTTTTGAAGAAATTTGTGGCACCATCAGTGCAGGAGGTGCGCCCAAGGAGTACTTAAAGTGCAAACTATTCTCTTTCACTTTGACAGGGAAGGCTTTGCGCTGGGTTAAGTCTCTTCCAGCTCAATCCATAACCACATGGAAAGAGTACAAGGTGGCATTCCTAGGTCACTTTTTCACAAAGCAGAGAGCAAACTTGTTGAGAGAAAAGATCTCTAGTTTCCAACAAGGGCCGGTGGAGCCTTTTCATGAAGCATTGGAGCGCTTCAAGGACTATACAAGAGAGTGTCCTAACCATGGGCTATCTGAGGGCAGTCTATGGAACATTTTCTACAGAGGAATAAGTGGGAAGTGTCGATTTTCTCTTGATACAGCCAGCAATGGAAATTTCATGACCAAGACAGTTACTGAAGCAAAGATTTTGATTGAAAATCTAGCCTCAAGCGACAGTGACAACTTCATTGGGCATGAGAGAGCAGTGAAGGCCATAAATTCTGATCCATACAGAGATGGATACAGCGAAATCAAAGCCATGATGGCTGAGATACTGAGAAACCAAGGAAGAGAAGTGGAGAGACAAAGAGAAGCTTATAGAGTTGAATCCACAATAATTCAAGATTACTTTGGAGATTTGATTCCAAGTTTCCAAGAAGAAGTAAACTTTGTTGGAATAGATGGATCAGCACATAGAGAAGAAGCTTGGAAAGGGAGAGCATGATGTTTTTACTCAAGAATCACCCAATGAGAAGAGGGATGTTCATGGAGGAAGAAATTATCAGCAACCACCTCACAAGAGAAGAATGGAGCCAAGGAGCAATTTTGAAGATTTGATAACTTTCATCAAGAGTTCTCATAGAGAGCACACAGCCTTGATTGATGAGAGATTGGAGTCAGCCTTCACGAGATTGAATGAGAAGTTGGATTCTATTTCTTCTTTCACAAGAGACTTGGATCTTAGAGTTGCCAACATAGCCAGCTCTATTAAGAGAGAAGAAGGTGTGCTACCAGGAAAAGTGGAAATCAATCCAAGGAGAGCAGCTGTAGCAGCTATCACTCTTAGGAATGGAAAAGGGTATGAGCCACCAGCATACCCAGATCAAGAGGAAGCAAAGCCGCCAATCAAGAAGAAACCAATGGAGTATGTTATTATTGGAGATGGGACTGAACCACCTAAGGAAGTCCATGTCAGAATAGAACCAGGAACTCAGGAGGAAGTGGAGAAGCCACCTGAAGAACCAAGAGTGTATGAGCCAAAGATCCCATACAGAAATGTTCTTTCTCAACCCAAGAAGGAGAAGGAGCAAGCAAAGCTCAAGGATCTTGTTAGCCAACTTTCAGTAAGGTTACCTTTCATTGATGCTTGCCAAATAATTCCATCTCTCAGGAAGTATATGAAGGCCATACTCACAAGCAATGTGAGTCTTGAAGAAGGAGCAATGATGATTACAAAGGAGTGTAGTGCCATACTTCAGAATCGCATGCCAGAGAAGCTGAACGACCCAGGAGTTTTGTTTTGTCTTGCAAGATCGGTTCTACACACTTCCATAGAGCACTTTGTGATTTGGGTTCTAGTGTGAACCTAATGCCTTACTCAGTGGCCAAGCTATTGGGCATCACTGACTTCAAACCTACAAAGATCTCTCTAGTCTTTGCAGACAGATCTGTTCGCCGCCCTGTTGGTGTTATTATGGATGTTCCAATCATGGTTGGAGATTGCTACATCCCTGCTGATTTTGTAGTTCTTGAGCTGGAACACCAACCTAAAGACCCTCTTATCTTGGGAAGGCCATTCCTAGCTACTGCAGGAGCTATAATAGATGTCAAGAATGGAAAGATTGACTTGCATCTTGGAGATATAGTGATGAATTTCGAAGTAAACAAGTCTATGGAGAAGCCAACTGTAGATGGTCAAGCTTTTTGGATTGGAGAGCTCGCAGAGACAAGAGAAGAAGTGCTGGATGAACTCCTTCTTATTGATCCCTTGGAGCTAGCTTTGACAAAGGCTGAGAATGAGTATGGATACATGGAAAGAGAAGCTCAATGCTTAGTCAAGTTCATGGATTCAAAGGAAGCTTATAAAGAGCTGATAGCTTATATGGACTTAGAGAGAGAAGAGGAAGAGCCAGACATTGACAAGGTCAGGAAAATCACAAACCAAGTTAAGTTCGACCCATGGTGCCCACTTAGAGCTCCAAAAGCCGAGCTAAAACAACTCCCAGTTGGTCTAAGGTATGAATATCTTGGTCCTAATGAAACATATCCTGTTATTGTTAATGCTGCACTAACAAAAGAAGAGACCGCTTTACTTGTTCGCGAACTGAGAAAGCATAGAAAGGCTCTTGGTTACTCTTTGGATGATTTAACAGGAATCTCACCTGAACTATGCACACATCGCATCATCCTGGAGGATGAGTCTAGTTCTTCAATTGAACACCAAAGGAGGCTAAACCCAAACCTAAAGGAAGTTGTCAAGAAGGAGATAATGAAGCTATTGAAAGCTGGAGTGATTTATCCAATATCAGATAGTGCATGGGTCAGCCCTGTACATGTCGTGCCAAAGAAAGGAGGGATCACAGTCATCAAGAATGAACATGATGAGCTCATTCCAACAAGACAATCACTGGACACAGAATGTGTGTCGACTACAGGAAGCTGAACTCCTCCACGCGCAAGGACCACTACCCCTTGCCATTCATAGATCAGATGCTTGAGCGCCTTGCCAATCATCAATACTACTGTTTCTTGGATGGATACTCAGGATTTTTCCAAATTCCAATCCACCCAGATGATCAGGAGAAGACTACATTCACTTGTCCCTATGGCACATATGCTTATAGGAGAATGCCTTTTGGATTGTGCAATGCTCCAGCTACATTCCAAAGGTGTATGATGTCCATATTCACAGATCTCATAGAAGAGATTATGGAGGTTTTCATGGATGATTTCTCAGTATATGGTTCTTCCTTTGAATCATGTTTGGGGAATCTTGGAAGAGTGCTACAGAGATGTGAAGACAAGCACCTAGTTCTAAATTGGGAGAAGTGCCATTTATGGTTAGAGATGGAATAGTGCTTGGACATAGAATCTCAGAGAGAGGCATAGAAGTTGACAAGGCCAAGATTGAAGTAATGACAAACCTTCAGCCGCCCAAGACAGTCAAAGATATCAGAAGCTTCCTAGGACATGCTGGATTCTACAGGAGGTTCATTAAAGATTTCTCACAGATAGCAAGGCCGCTAACACGCCTATTATGCAAGGATATTAACTTTGAGTTCACAGAGGAGTGTCACAAGGCTTTCACTAAGATCAAAGATGCATTGGTCAGTGCGCCAGTGGTTCAACCTCCAAACTGGGAACTACCTTTTGAGATAATGTGTGATGCAAGTGATTATGCAGTAGGAGCAGTGCTTGGACAAAGAAAAGACAAGAAGCTACATGTGATCTACTATGCCAGCAGAACACTTGATGAGGCACAATGCAAGTATGCCACAACAGAAAAGGAGCTTCTTGCTATTGTCTTTGCATTTGAGAAATTTCGATCATACTTGGTGGGATCGAAAGTTATAGTTCACTCTGATCATGCAGCATTAAGGTATCTTTTATCTAAGAAAGATGCCAAGCCAAGATTGTTGAGATGGATACTACTATTGCAAGAATTTGATCTTGAGATCAAGGATAGAAGAGGAGCAGATAATGGAGTAGCTGATCACCTTTCAAGGATGAGAGTTGAAGAAAATCTACCCCTTGATGATAGGCTACCTGAAGAATCAGTTTATGCAGCTGAAGCTAGCAATAAGCATGGACAACTAGGCCATCACAGGCCAGGAACAAAGATCTCATCATCAAACACACCATGGTTTCGCCACATAGCAAACTTCCTTGCAGCTGAATACCCACCACCAAACTTCTTTGGCTACAGAAAGAAGAAATTTCTGCGTGATGTAAGAAGGTACTACTGGGATGAACCTTACTTATACAAGAAATGTTCAGATGGAATGTTTAGAAGATGCATACCAGAGGAAGAGGTAGAAGGAATATTGTTTGCTTGTCATAGTTCTAGCTATGCAGGCACTTTGCCACTTACAAGACAGTATCCAAGGTCCTACAAGCTGGATTTTGGTGGCCAACTATGTTTAAGGATGCTCATGCATTCATATCAAGATGTGATGCTTGCCAAAGAATGGGAAATATAAGCAAGAGGAATGAGATGCCACAGAACTTTATACTAGAAGTTGAAGTTTTTGATGTTTGGGGCATTGACTTTATGGGACCCTTCCCAACCTCTTTTGGTGACCAATACATTCTAGTGGCAGTTGATTATGTCTCCAAATGGGTGGAAGCCATTGCCAGCCCTACTAATGACGCACAAGTGGTCATCAAGATGTTTAAATCCATCATTTTTCCAAGGTTTGGAGTGCCTAGGATAGTCATAAGTGATGGAGGTTCACATTTCATCAACAGAATCTTTGCCAACCTTTTGAAGAAGCATGGAGTCACTCACAAAGTTGCCTCTCCTTACCACCCCCAAACTAGTGGACAAGTTGAGATCTCAAACAGAGAACTCAAGAGCATACTTCAGAAGACAACAGGCAAGACAAGAAAGGATTGGAGTGCCAAACTAGATGATGCTCTATGGGCATACCGCACTGCCTTCAAAACACCACTTGGTACCACCCCCTTTCATCTTGTTTATGGTAAAGCATGTCATTTACCTGTGGAGCTGGAGTACAAAGCAGCTTGGGCTATTAAGGAGTTGAACTTCAACCTAAAGACAGCAGGAGAAAGAAGATTGATTCAGCTGAATGAGCTTGATGAGATTAGGCATCTGGCTTATGAGAATTCAAAGATCTATAAGGAGAGAACCAAAGCTTTCCATGACCGCAAGATCATCCCAAAGAACTTTGCGCCAAACGACCAAGTTCTACTATTCAACTCAAGGTTGAAACTCTTTCCAGGAAAGCTTCGCTCAAGATGGTCAGGACCATTCAGGATTAAAGAAGTTCGCCCCTATGGAGCAGTGGTACTATGGGACCCAATGGGAGGAGACTTTACAGTCAATGGACAAAGGTTAAAACCTTACCTAGCCTCCACCACCATACCACAGGAGACCACACTAGCTCTTGGCGATCCACCAGATCCTTAAGGAAGTGCCATACAGTCAAGCTAAAGACTTTAAACAAAGCGCTGAATGGGAGGCAACCCATTGAAGGTCATTTCTTTTCATTTTCTTTCTTTAATTTTCTTTTGTTTTGAATATTACCTCTCACCTTAATGTGATTTGCTTTCACCGGGACGGTGCAAGTTAAGTCTGGGGGGAGTTTTATTGTGTTACTAATGCATTTTTCTTTCTTTTCTTATGTTTTATTCACTTTGTTTCATGTTTTTCAAAAAGTTTTATTGAGTCAAAAACCAGTCCGGAAGTTATGAACTTGCTTTGAGAATTGAGAGTGTTGCTAACAATCCATGACCCTAGAGCAGAAACCAGCTAAAGGCACAAGCCTAACAGAAGCTCTTACAGTGGATCGACATGCTAGCTCAGCAAAATTTCTAAGGTAACCAAGCAATCTAGAGTTAACCTCACCCTTAATCAATCTTAATTACTCTTGTCAAGGGGGTTGGCATACATGTCGACAGTTCCTTGCTTGATTTTCAATAAGATTTGTCTAATCTTTAAAGAGTTCTCCTCTCTCTCCCATCCCAAATGGTAAGTAATGTTATGAGAAAAAGCTCAAAGAGCACAAGGAAAACAAGTAAGCATGAGGAATGCATATGTCTGTACCTTCATGTCTTATGGAATACCTTAGTCAAACAAGGAACAAGCTAAAGACTTATCCTGTGGTTGAAAGAAGGGTCAATAGAAAAAATAAAATGATACCCTAGAAAAGTAGGGATAAATTGACCTTTCAAAGTTCTGATGTGAGAAAGAGAGAGGAAAAGAACTCATTGCACTTAAAGACAATCTTGGAGAAGATCAAGTGGGTAAGAACAAGTTCAATTGATCGATGTCCCCTTGATAAAGAATTCACGCTTTAAATTTATGCAAGAGGTTAGCAATAGAGAGTTTGGATTGCTGGATGAGACTAGTTGGGTTGGTATTGTTCGCTAAACTTGCAGGGTGTATGTGAAGCTAACCTTATGTTGTCTATGTTCATAGTGGAATACAGGAAAGGAACCTTTCACAGGATATTCAAAAGAGCAAGGGAGCTTCCACGTTTTCAAACCTCTTTCACGGATTTAGATTCTTTTTGCTTGAGGACAAGCAAAGATCTAAGTCTGGGGGAGTTGATATACCTCTATTTTACACTTTTTATACTGTTTTAGCATTGTTTTCTAATGGTTTTTGGCAGGTTTTCTATCTAAAAAGGTAGTTTTACTGTGTTTATAGTGTCTAGAGTCTAAACAGGTGAAATGATGCATTTTGGAGCAAAACCATAGGATTTGCACTTCAAGCCGCTCCATGCACAAGCACCAACTTTAAGAGGGCCCAGAAAAAGATCTACTCAATGGATTTCATCAAGACCAGTTCCCTGCGTGCTCTGATTGAGTTAACTTTCCAACGCAACTGGAACGGCCTAATTTGGATGAGTAGAAAAGGAGTTACAACCAAAAGAGTGAAGACTGTCCAGACGGCTCTATCGAGAAACAGCGCCCAACCGCGCAGTCCGGCTGGCCGAGGAACGATGTTCCGCGCTCGGCCAAAACTGTCCGTCCGTCTGAAGTCTCGGCCAAAGTCCAAACCACTCGGCCGATCACGCATCACGACCCGGGAAACAAGCCCGCGGTCGGCCACGCCACAACCGCCACGCCACAGCCGCGCACGACCAAAGCGCGCGAGCCGGGAAAGCCTCGCGGCCGCGCAACTCGCTCAGTACCGCGCACGAACGCTCCGTCCGACCGGGAGAACACCTCGCGTCCGGCCGAGAATTTCATCGGCCAAACTCATCCGCCGACCACGCCGGCCGACCGTGAATCCATCCGGCCCGACCGTTCCGACTCGGCCACAACCCGATTGTCCGGCCGATCGTCCCGCACGACCGTCCCAACGCCGCGGTCGACCCGAAGCCCTTTTGAAGCCCAATTTCATATTTTCAAGCCCGGCTTAACCCTAAGCCGCCTCTAGAAAGACCTAGCACTATATATATAGTTTTTAGCCTCTTGTGAAAGAGAGCCGCCTTGTATTTCGATTTCATACTTTGAAGTTTTATTGCAATCATGTTTTCTTCATCTCTTTGTGTTTTTGCTTTGATCATGTCTGAGTAATTCACTAGTTAGGTTGTGAGATCTATCAAAGAGTTCATGGTTTGATAGGTTGTTAGAAGTCAATAGGGTTTATATATCGCATCTTCGCCTCTGCTTGAACTTCATTGCTGCTTGCTTTTCTGATCAACTAGCATCAGATCTTAGGTTTCATATACTCTCCAAAAGCTTGCTATATAACCTGAACTAAGTATTTGGTGAGCAAAACTTCATAGACTGCGAAAGTTGATCTATGCGGGGTTGTGAACAATTGGGTCTTGAACGAACTATTGCTTGATTTAATCACCTAGGGACATACCAAAAGTTTAGCGACTAGGTAGATTAACAAAGGGGTCGGAGCCTCGACAGTGGAAAGATCATACAATCGTGACCTGAGTTCTAGATAGCGCAAACCCTAGCGAACCCTTCTAATATCTTGTTAACCTTGAATCTCTGCGAGTTTCTCATTGCCTAGCGTTTCCCTTATTGATTTTCATAAACCGTTTAATTGCTGTTTGATTTCTTTGTTACACAATCAAAAACCCTAAATCATACTTGTTTTCTAGCTATATTAGACTTGCAATACTCGAAGTGTACTTATCTGCTCCTTGTGTTCGATACCCGTTTACTACTTCTGACCTGTGCACTTGCAGAATCAGGGATAGGAAAAGGGAAGACCTGATCCGCACATCACCAATCCGGTTGGGCTCTGACGTGCGAGAATGCGCTTGACTACACCTTCCTAGACAACATGTGGTTAGACACGCCACATGTTCTCAGTACTTAGCATATGGGCCTTTACGCACCACTATGCCTCATACCACCGGTTCTGC